ATCCAGAAGTTCTGTTCGTCTGAGTGTAATTCGTGATAAAACTCCAGCATCTTCGCCAGCTCCCCGACTCGTTTCCAATACCTGAACAGACATCTTTACTTGGTCGACTTACAAGAAACTACATTTCCACTTTTGGTGCAGTTCGGCGACGGGGGGCATTTCGCTATTTTGCTGCTTCCCATCGACGTGTCGACCTATCTAGCCGGCCTCTTCTTGAGTTGACTTTTAACATGGCGGTTGACGATCTTGCTCCAGCTTCACAAGAGTTCACAGGTTTCGCCAGAGTGAGACTTGTAAACCGGAACCCAGGGAAGCCAATGATGACAACGAATTCCCCCTCCGTCGCCGAACGGCGCCCTATTTCCAGTGAATAATCAGTGGAGATGTTGCGGAATCGTGGGGTAACGATACAATAAGTCGTACACGTCTTGCACGGTGTGGAATGTGTCCTAATGCCGGCTGGCCTTTTTTGGCAGTGTGTCATTACCGACAGTCAATCGGGGGCGTGCCAAGCCTTGCATGTGGTTTTTGCGGAACAGTACCAACTCCTTCCCTATCCACTCATTGAGATGCCCGGAAGCTACAACGACCGACGAAAGAAAGCCACCTGCGTGCGCTAGAACCTACGGGACTGTTGACACACGGCTGAGGTGTGAGAGAGGAGGTGGCGCGAGCCCGCTGACTTGAGCGGTAATAGGTGAGAGATGTGAGTGGTGTATTTCGACATGAATCCTCGCTTTCAATACTATCTATGAAGATATTATAAAAAGCACGCATTCGATCACTAGACTCGCCGAGTTTCTTTCAACCGCGCATGTTGGATGCAAGAGGTGGCGCGCAGGGGGAGTGGAGTAAGGTGGTCTGGGTGGCACGTGCGAATGTGACGGGTTGTATCCGCGGCAGGTACCGTGAGGGGGGGGGGGGAAGCGATCCGCAGCGGAGGGAGGGCGGTTGGCAGGATTTGATCCCTGGATCACGGGGAGGACCTCGTAAGTCGCGGAAGGTATTCAAGAAAAGTGTGCTACAGAAAGACGTTCAGGCGATAGCGCGAAGGGGCACACGTTGTGGGGCCAGCGGGGGGTAGGGGAGGGGCGGAGACGGGCCCCTAACTACCTTTAGGGTTACGTTATGACGGTGCAAAATGGAGGGCATAAGGTGGGGGTTGAGGGTAATGAGAGAGGAGAGGAGAGATGATGTCGGAGAACGCTGGTTTGGTTGGAAAAGGTGAGCGAGATTTTTGGATAATGGGTACCTCCCTTTCCGCTGGCAAAGTAGAGTGTACATTATCAGGGGAGAGAGAGCGTGGGGAAGACCGAGCGTGTTGCAGTGCAGAGCGGGCGGTCAGCAGATCGGCCGTGTGTGGTCTCGCGTGTACCTGATGTCGCTGACTCAAGACATCGAGGAGAACGGGCTAGGGCCGCGCCTAGGAAAGCCGAGAGGGAGAGGATGCAGTAGAACAAATAAGACCCATGCATTGATATGAATTGAAGCTCATTTTGGCTGAGAGGCGTGCGAGGAGAGAGAGGAGATAACTCTAAACAATGAGATGATGGTTGCGGCGGTGCGGACGGAATTTGCCAGGCCGAATTGCCAATGAGATATATGTTTCATGCCCCAGTGTTCGAGCGGTCGCCCCATCATGCACAAAACGTTTTTGAGAAAGCGCGTTGAGTCCGATGCCCGTCTGCGGGAGATTTGGGATTGCCTGAATAGCTTATTCAACCATGGACAGGATACTCGCGGCTTGCAGTAAGTCCTTCTCTTCCACTCAATCGCGTTACCATTCGCATGGTTATTGATTTTTACGCCGCCGTGTGCCAAAATAGAAGAAAACTGAGTGACGTACCTGTAAATGAACTCCAAGAATGGGTACACCAAATAGCAACAGTTCATTGATGGTGTTGATTCCGCCATGACAAATCAGATATTGCAGATTGGGATGAGCTAGAAGCAATGCTATTCAGTGAAAAATTGATCTTTCAGTCTTGTAGAGTGCACGGACCTAATAGATGTTTCACTGGTACCCAGCTGCTGAGCACGACATTTTCAGGTACAGTAATATTCCTTGCCCAAAGAAGCGATTCAAATGCAGAGTTTGTCTGCCAGATTACGGTGAAAGGTGACTGAGAAAAAGCTTCGAGTAGTTTTTCCACGAGTTTCATTGGCATGTAGTGAGCCTAAAACTCATATGGGTTAATTAGTTAGTGGTATTGACTCATCAATTCACAAATATCACAACAAATTGATGCGGGGCGAGTAACGTGGCTCACGCAAAACTCCAACCCTTACACGGGCCGAGTAAACAATGCCTAGCGGATAGCGCACTTGTCTCAAAGGCGTGAGTTTCGAGTTCTAGCCCCTGGGTTCCTGTGCTAGAGCAGTGGCATTAGGCTCTGCTAAGACAGGCATGGAACGCAAACCAATATCCTTCCTCTTGACGATGCGGACCATGAGTAGGTTGATTGGTTCCGGACAAAAAGGAGCATAGACTGGCCTGTGCGCTAGGCTTTACCCTCTGTTTTTGTAGAGATCTCAGTGGATGTATTTAAACACTGCCACGATCTCAAATAGAAGTGAAAAGTGTGGCGTTAACTGGAGAAAGAATGATGCTCACTGGACGCTCCCAACTTTCCCCAACCTCAGCATCCAGGTACGCAACCACGCTCATTGCATGTTGGGGATCCCCAGCGAGGGAGTGATGTTTAGTCGCTGGAGTGATGGAGAGAGGAAGGAAAGTGTGGTTTCTGCCTTCGAAAAAATGTTTTCGGTTGTTGATTTTCGAAGAAGTTTTTGGAAAAAAACTCTGGAATCAGGAAAAAGGTATAGGAGTGGGGTTGGGGTGGTTAGGAAAGGGTCGTACCAGAGAACGAGTCTCTGAGGAGGGCGGTATTTTCAGAATTTTTTTCAACGGCAGTACGTGTCCTGTTCGTAGGTTACGGTCACGTGTATACAGGGGGGCCAAAAAAGACACTTTTCTTCCTTGACTTTCAAGGCGCTATAAGTTACACTTTATTAAATTCTGATTGGACATTTCCACCACCATATTCAACAGCATATTGTATACTATCATGATACTCCGCCACAGCCTTCTGGACGGCACCCAATCCTGTAGCAGTACGAAGTTTCCAAGATGGTGCAGGCGATGACATGAAGGCAGGATATTCTCCACGAGTTGGTCGATGTAACCGTCAGCGCTCACCTTCAGTCCGGGGTCCACGAAGAAAATATCGGTCTTCACATTCCAGGAACTTCCGGTCCATACCACCAACCCGCGCCTTGGCGACTGCGGTGAAGATGATATCCTGGACCGTAGCGACGTTGTCGGAGCTGCTCGATGTTGGAGGTCTTCCAGAAAGAGTGCTGGTCTCCAGGTAGCTATCCATGGGTGACTCCATACAAGAAGTTTCGCAGCTGTTTGGAGGTGACGTGAATTCCAAAGGTCTTCTCCAGTCAGGCTGCGATTGGAGATGACTTCATATTTTGGTGTACATGAAGGTGATGGGCGAGAGCCTGCTCCTGCTTATCGAGGAACATCTTGGTATCTTCCGCCCTGGTACTCGTATCCACGTCTTCTGTCTGGGCTGTGAAAACTTTGCTGATACGTGACTCAGCCGAAGTGTCTTTTTTGCCTTGCCCCCCCCCCCCTGTAGGCGAAATCAATAGCTCTGAGCGCAAAGTGGCAGTCAAGTGCGCAGAGTGGTAGGCAAACGAACCAGTCAATTCAAAACTGTGGACTGAGACCAGAGGATCCGAGTTGCGGCTAGGCGCAGAAACTAGGGTACAGCGTTGCGGGATGGCAATCAGGGACGGTAGTAATTTGTCTAAATCTCGCAATCAAATGCGCTGAGTTTGTTCGCAGTTATGCAGAACAACGAGCGATGTATGAGCGAGGCAACCACGCTGGAAACAACGAGCTTCGCTAGGCTATTTGCAAAACTTCGCTCAGCGGTCGGTATCGATCTCATCACCATGCGAGTGGTAGCGCGCACAATTGTCGCTACGCTAATCATTAGTATGCCGACTTAGCGGCGGTCCCTGGTAACAAGCAATGAACTGAACATGGCAGACACTTATGTTTTCAGTCAAAGTAGTTAAACAAATTTTCATTTTTTTATTCTCACCTCCATCCCCCTAGTCGATTAGGGTAATCGGCTACATCATTTCATATTCTAATGGCACATCTTTATATGATATTTGCATTTTTTCTAATCACCCCTTGTACCCGTTTTACTAGAAAATATTCTAAACTTTTTTTCAAAGTTCTCTTCAACGGTGCAATGGATGGCCACGCCCTCCCCACATCTCGATTTACATTCCCTCGGGCCATCAACCCTACCACCCACTTTTGTCCTCCCCGCTATACCTAAGGCCTGTGATCTAAGGCGATATTCTGGAACTTGGAAAGCTTGTTGAAGAACCCCCACTCGTACCAACAGAGATGGCACATTTTGAAAAGTCCTTCCGGAGGAACTTTTTCAAGACGTGCAACAGAACGGCGACTATCTGCGTCTCTCCGTTTCGCGTAATGTCTCCACCCTCGTGGTTGAGAACTCAAGTGCGACATCATAACGTCGCAGTTCAACGGAGGATAGCAATGTTCACCTCAGGTCGTGGTAACGACCACCCAACCTCGACCTTTCTTATAATACAAGTCCTGGAATAGGCTTTTGGACATTCGTCTTACCGGCGAGCTGATGGTTTACCTGTTGAACTGGCCAGTTTATGCCAGTTACTGACCGTCCAGAATCCGCCTCCAACTGTACTGCACAGGCGACCGCACCTTACAGTCATTATCACTGAAGAAAACAGGACGTGCGAGCGGGCCATGGGATTCGGCACAGCTCTTAGCCCCTTTCCCACCACTTATTGGACGCCAATGGAATACGGGCTGGCGCCAAAACCCACCCTGCCGATCCGCCCCGATTGACTTCAGTGATAACGACTGTACAACCTCGCTTTGCCGCTACCCGAATCCCCTGTACTGCACATGAACTGATAACTTATCTTACCTGTGCAACACTTCCGAAGCTCACCAGAATGAACGGCTTTGTCGAGAGCGATGGCCAGTTCAATTGCGGGAATTCTTTCGAAATAGAACTGAATCGTTTCATCACTTCATCAGAGGCCAAACCTTCGTAAAGTCGAGATCTTCGGCTTGCTGCGGGTCGAACAGCCGCTGATTTTGACGAACAGACACAATTAATGAAGGAGAGCGGTACTGTCGAGTTGTTCCTTCTAGAAACCTCCAGCGAGCTGTTCATATAACGGAAATTGGTAGTGGGAGCTTTGCAAATGACGGAGCTTGCTTTCAGAAGGCTGTCCTCAGGTAAAACTGTCACGTAGTCCCTCGGATTTCTGAAGAAATATATTTTTTTGCAGGCAATGTGGAAAATACGCCCGCGTAAAATCAATAGTCATCTTAGAGCACATCCGTTTACAGTGACTCTCACTTCTTACTGCCACCACCGAAATGTTTCACGCGATTATTGATTGGTCGAATGACATCGAAAAGAAATTCCGATCTACCGGCGTAGATCAATCGTTCAGCTTCAGACTGAATAATGCCAACCTGCAACCAAGCGGTACCAATAAGTTCTCATTGGTAATGTCGGTAGATGGCTACTTACTTGAGGAAAGCCTTTTCTTGTAAACATACTATCCAAAACATAAATTTGGATATATCTCGTTATAATAATGATCCAGTGAAAGAGAGTGTTGATAATGCGTTCACCGAATGACATCCCATGGCCACTATATGGCGTACCTGAAGAGGAAAATCTTCTAGTCAACTCTAGCCTCAGCTTTTGTCAACCTTTCACACCCAGAAGAATCGCTGCTACCGCCACCCACTTGACGTGCACGTCTGACTCGCGCGCGCGTCGCGAGCGTATTGGGGCTCTTACGACGGCACCGGTCACGGTAGCGGCGGTTCATCCGGTTGGGTAACTTATCTTATACCAAAGACAGTTGACTCACCTGTTTTGGGGGTGGCGCTTGGGTTTGCTGGTACATTAAGAGATGTGATGTATCCGTCAGCAACAGGCCAATTAGAATACTGTACTACAGACGAATTCAAAAGGAACGACAAACCACCCATGCACTCCTGAAATGTTCAAACTGTCTTAAATTCATAGGCAAAGAAGTAAAGAAAAAGAGTTCTGAAAAAACACCAGTGGGCTGGCTCGTCTGCGTTTTCTCGATTAAGGCTCGGTTTCTGGGGCACGCTTCTTCGGCTTACTGTGTGGGCGGCAGTCCATAGATCACAGTAATTTCCCATGGGAAACGGTACGGTCGGGAGAAACCCCATCAGAGGGTCATAAATAGTCGTAAAGGAAGGGGTTTGTATTCGTTGATGGGGTTGTATCTGGTCTTAGCAGAACTTTGTCTGAGCTGCTAGAAGGTTGCGGTTGATTGACATTTCGGGATTTCTTCGTCTTCATGAGTATATGCTCTTATTTCCCACCAGCTCCTTATAAGCATCGACATTCTATTGCAAATATGGCGGATAGTTGAAATTAGAGTAGTTACCCGCCTGGACAGCTCCACCCCAACGGACATTCTTCGAGAGAAGATGGAAAGTTTTCGAGGAAATTGGAAAAATTGTTAGAGAATTGAGAAAGCCCAGAAAGATGCGAGGTGGGAAGGGGGCAGAGGGAGGGGTGGGAGGAGATCCGTAACAGAGAAGAAGTTCGTGGCGGACGTCGCTGACAGCAGGCATTTCTCCCATAACCCTGACATCGAAGGGGGTAGCTCACCAGCTTGGATTCTGTGGTGAATCAAACTGCCTGAGCCAACAGGATCAGCATAGTCTTTAAATCGGCCAACACCCCCATGATATTTGGATCTTTTCGGTATTTTTGAAGCGCTGAGTTACCTTTACCTGCAGAAAATGATCCAACAAAACGACATCAGGCTGCTGTTCTCGCAGGTACTTCAAAAAGCGCTGATCGGCCAGCATTCGTTCACAGTGCGTCTGATGTCGATTAAGCATGCTGAACAACCGATTGGGATCCGTTGTTGCTGTTTGGGACAAATACTGCAGTCTTACTTGTAAAAAATGAAAGTGCCTCGTAGATCCCACAGTCGATCGAAATCCGTTGGCACATTCTGCTCCCATACAAGGCTGCCTGCTGTGTGCATAAGTTTTGTGCCTGGAACAGGGGCAAGTGACAGAGAAGCCTTCCTGGCACTTGAAGCTGGGGAGAATTAGGAGATTCGAGCTGTGCACGTGGCACAGCGTACATTTGTACCAGGACCAGATTCGTTAAGCGCAAAAAACGACAGTAATTCTAGTCACTTAGTCAATCTTGTGCGCCACGGATGCTGGGGCGTATTGTAAGGGCTGGGTTCGGCACAGCGCCAGATCGTTCTCCACCAACTAGTGGAGCAGAGCAAAAGACAGTCGATGTCCCCCCTGACACGACCCATCGTCCGGACTATGGGAAATGTCGCGGGCCAGGTCACTTTTCACGCGTTGTGGGTCTTCTAGGGTCTCTCAGAGCCACCCCCTGCCTGAATTTAAGGAAACCTCTAAAGATTCTGTATGAGAACCGTGAGTATATCTAAAGCTCAGATCAGCAGAAGAATACCTCTGGAAATCTCGGTTCAAATCGAATTCACAACAGAGCTCAGGAGAATGGACGACTCAACCCACCCCCTGCTTTGAATACCTCACCGTCCCACTATCATATAAAATTTGCAAGCGTTCTCAACAGTAGTTTGACATCGCCGTGTTAGCTACAAGGTCGTTCAATTCCCACATTCACTGCAAGGCCAGCTGTCTGCCCATATGAAGTGTGGGTTTCTTTTCAGTTTTCTCTTCTCCCCCACCTCCGGAGGCAATAGGCCTTTGTTTAAATTTCAGAAAGATATTCCATGGTGACAAAACAAGGATAATCGTTTTCGAAAACGACAACTAGTAAGTGCCCAAATCACGAAAAAGTAGCAGCAGCTGTTCAGCAGTTCTTCCATAATTGACACTGACCAGTGTGCTAGCAAAAAACACTGTGAGCATGGACGAGAGCCCAGAGAAGCAAAGGCGGGAGAGCAACGTGCGAGGCAATAGCTAACCCCCCCAGTCGCTTTTAGACAGGGATTACGCTGGCTAGCTTGAGCCCTTGCCCTCGTGGGTTGAGCAGCGAAATGACGAGTAATACCCTCAGGGCATCCAAAGTCAAACTGGACATTCACCTTCATGGGTCATAGTCCTTGAAGTGAAATAAAGGGTCCGTAACTAGGATAACGTTCTACTCACTCTGCTCGCATGTGCACGGAATGGAGGGCAGTGATACACGGATGCCGTTTACGGACTCCCCCCGCGTTATCCTCAAGGTGTTGCGCTCACGTCGATACCGGGAGCACGCAGTCAATTGGTGGAGATCTTACCTAAAGTGAGTAAGGCGCTGGCAATAACGGCGCGTTTGGCTGTGATTGCAGTATGGCTAGGGTACGCGCCGCGTGTAAGCAGGAGTCGTATCCCCCCCCCCCCCCCCCGAGTATCACTACCCTCTAGCTTCCTCTAGTGCTCTCATGAGCAGAGAAAGTGGCATGTCGCCACAGCTGCGGGCCATAATCCCGCACATGACAAGGGCTGATATCCAGGAATGACGGACATGCTCAGCCCAAGTCACTTTTTTCTGGGCTTTGTAACTCTACTCGTAAATCCTTGAAAAAAAATGGTCCTGCCACCGTGTTGTCATGAACTAGCAAAGAATAACGATTATATATAATATTATATTTATGCTTGAACGGGCTCATAAACGATGTTCAATTTTTCAGTGGTACTATGATTGAAGTTGCCTATTTTGCCTTATTTTATGATGTTTGTTTGCTTACTTGTTTCTCTCTCACACTACCTTTGAACTCCCCCTCCCCCACACCTCCTCCGCAGCTCGCCTGCTGCTATTGCGGTTGGATTTCAGCTGTGTTGGTAGGCAATGCTACGCCGATCATCAGAGCTGTAGTACTATGGTGCTGTACGGCTGGGGAGAGGCATCTATGCGTGCCCTTTCGAGGAGGGGCGCGAACGATTTCCCACTAGGGAAGCCCCCTCCCAGCGCTTGTACTACTTGGGTTTATCTTGACCAATTCCGAAAATTAGTCATTTTCCTTTGTTTCAACCTGCAGCGTTTGTATTGAGACTGCCGATAATGAACCGTTGAATCATCAAAGAACTACTTTGCTATGCCGAACATTTCGACTACACCGATAGCATTGCCCAAGGTTTGACTATGCAGCGAAAAACGTGGGTAATTGCCGCCACGGGCCGGCATTTGTTACAGTGAACCGTTATATCAAACTAAGATGGAACGTGCTGACCCGACTGCGGTTTACAGCGTTAAGTTGGCGCTGCCTGTCTGCAAAGAACCTTGAAAGATCATCAACAATCTTTTCTGCACGGTGCTCTTAATAATTAACTTTACTGCAGATGATTCCCAGGTCGGAGTAGCCTTGTGATAGGCCTATACCGTCAGACATATTTCTTACCGCTGATCTCCAGTATGCTTGATGTGCTTTCGAAACCAGTAGAACGACTCTTTGTACAGAGTTATGACAATTTTTCCCTTGGCCTCACAGGCAAAACAGGAAGAGGGGTCGGTCAAATCATGGCATAGGATGGGTCACTTATGAAATATTCCGGTTTGAGGCAACTGTCATCCTGTTCAGTGTTGGGCTGAGAGACGACCACGCTTCTGTTAAAAAGAAAATATCACTCCAAGAGCACAGCCACCCCACGTTTGCTTGAAGTACGCAGCCACGCCTACCACGTATCGGGGATTTAAAATGAGAGCGGAGTTAAGCTATCAAATAAACAAAGCTGAACGCCTAAAAAAACCGAGAAAGGAAAGCACTTACTATAGGGAAGCGGTCCGAAATGACCTAATGAAATGTAGAGGATTGAGTAAGAAAGGTGGTGTAATTCGCCGTCGGGAAGTTATACGGTGAAGGCGCCAAGACCCACAATTGTTCCGGTTACACGATTTTTTTCAGCTGTCTTCGTGTCAAACATCAACTTTTAGACGCAATGACGACATAGGCATATGGCCAAACTAACCTTCAAAAAGGGCGTCGAACTTGAGTTGAAGAGGAAGTAAAATCGTGGCGCATCTCAAGACGGGTGATTGAAGTGATGTCGCTCCCTCCCCTATTCAACTGAGCAGAGTCAAACGCTTTGTCGTTCATGTCCTTAAGCTGTTTATTTTATTGTTCATTTGCTTGTTTATTTGTCTATTTATTTATTTACCTAGTTATTCAGTATTTACAGAAACAATTACTTTTCCAAAGGTTTAAGAACGGAAATGAGCGCCTTTTTGCTAAGAGCTCCAAAATATAACCTGAACTTTTTGAAAAGGAAGTTCTCTGATGTGTCATTAGCACTATACATAAGCTGAGACGGAGTAGGCGTGGCACTTGAACATGGTATAGAATGGGTTACTCGTGGAATATTTCCGACTGCTATCTTATTCTGTGTTGGACAGAAACACGACCACAATTTTTTTCAAAATGAAAATATCTCCCGAAAAGCTCAGCCACCGCCACGTTTGTTGGAGTACCCAGCCATGTCTACTACACCTCAGGAATAGCAGTTAAATAAATAGGTAACAATAACAAATAATAATTGGCGAGACAAATGAATAAAAAATATTTGAAAAATCTTTGAAAATAACCTTGTTGAACATAGTGTTCAAAGATTACTGACTGTTTACACCTACGCCGAAAAGGAAAGGGATGCGGTGGCCACGAAATCGCTAGAAAACTCACTTTCTTCGTCGTGACCATATAAGCTGATACGATTCCATGTCGAAGGCAGAGCAATTTCACCGAAACCAAAATCGAAAATAAATGCTTGAATCCAGGTGACATTGACGGATGGTCCCAGAGATTCACCGACTTCTCGCATCATCACATCATGGCTGTAACAGCCACTCGAAGGGAACAGAGCCACCTCGAAAGCTTGTGATTGGCCGAACAAGGTGGTGAAGCGATAAAAAGCCAGAACATGGTGTGAAATTAACGAGCGCCGCTGGGGGAGCGAAGATGGCAACCGTTGTAACGGCGAAAAGCCCTTGAACCGGGAATGGCAACGCCCTGCGCGTACGAATCTCTTCACTGAGGTGAATGAAGCGAATTAACACTGTTTTGAAGACCTCACGATAAACACTTGACCATAACCACTTCGGTACTTCTGCTATAAGCGCTGACTTACTTGCTTACTGATTCACCCGAAATGAAGTTGCAGCTACCTTTTAAGTGAGGTTTGGATGCACCCGAAATGAAGCTAGCTAGGCCTCCCCTTTTTAGTGAGATAACCCTTTTAGGCTAAAACCTTAACCCCCTATGATCCATTAACCTAAGCTATTGGATGCCTTTGACCGGAAATTCATAACTCAACCCCGCAGCCATGAGACAACCTTCATTCTGCAGCAGAGCGTTTAAGTTGATAAGTGATAAAGTTTATGCGATGGAAATGTCATGTGAAGGTGTACAGCACAGCTGATGACACTGCATAAGAGCTGCATATAAGTGCGGGGCGGGAGAGGAGGGGGAGGTGGAATTGTGAGTAGGAAAACGCAATCCACAACGCGAGTTGCAAAGTTAACAAACGGGACTTTGGCTTCGCAAGAGCATTATGGGGGGGGAGGGCGGGAGAATATTACTGGAAGGCGAGAGAAAGTTACGACAATTGAATAACGAGTGGAAAGGGAAAAGAAATCAAGTTCCAAAGGGTGGATCACAGCAATGAGCGCAGCTTGTTCAAGCAAAACTCAAAGGCCGGTGAGGATAATGATGTGAGGGAGAGACAGAAAGTGTTAAGGACCGATAAGAGCCGAAAAGTGCGCATGTAGCCAGGAAAATCAATCAAAATCATAAGCACAGGCCACAACTAACAGACGGATCTGCTCTAAGAAGCGATGTAGCGGTGACAGGTGGGCATGGAATGCCTATGTTTGTGGCGTGCCAGAAAGGCGATAATCAACTGCTAGAATTGAT